ATAAGGACAGCACAATGTCCCAAACCATTACATGAACTATCCATGCTCGAGATGATCAACCCCCACTTCACTGAAGTTCTCTGGCTTGATGACAGCAGAAGTCCAGAGTCAGTGTGTGCAGGAAGGCCATGTGCTCTGCATGCTGCACAGCACAGACACACTGCCAGAATGAATACATTATTTTTTTAAAAAAAAGTTTTATTGTCAGACATGCAATGTAAGGCCCTACTTACTTTTCAAACCAAGATAGTTGTCAAAACCCAAAGCAAATCAAAAGAAGTGAAGTTAGATCATTCATCATCATCTTCCACTCCCACAGTCAAAAAGCAACTTTTCCACTAAAGTGAGGGGAAAAAAGAAGGGACATACCTGGTGTAGGAGTATTTATTGTTGCTTCTATTATACAGCAGTTTAACAACAGGCTGTTGGGAGTGAGAGAAAAGAAGAAAAGGTAAGTTCTGTGTTTCAATACATTTAGAATAAATCCACAGTTGAAAAGAGCAGTTACTTTCATTGATGACTCTATCAGTCTCTCCTCTTCTTTCGGAGAGGTGATAATAGGGATGCTGCAGACAGGTTCATACAAGTCTTTCTTGTCCTGTTTTAATGAAAGAAGAAAGAGAGGAAATAAGAAAGAAACGCTGAAGCTGATGTTGCTGCTGCTGCCTCTTTCAGCCCCTCCAGCCATGTTCCCAAACGCTGTGATGCACAGGAAAAGAGCTGGGTTGCTACAGTAACCACCCAGCTTACCTTGATCTGCAACCCAGAATCACAGCACAGATTTCCCATCCCCGGAAGGCAGCAGTAATTGAAATATTGGGATGCAGGTGGATGTCCTCAGCTATAGCCAGGACAAGGTCTAGTCATACTTGGTTTAAGTGGGTTTAATATTACATCCTTTCTTGAAGAAAAGGATTGAAGGAGTCTGCAGTAGTTTTAATCAACTCAAACCACTGCACAGACGAGCATCAGCCACTGTGGACTGAGCACGTGGCAGAACAGGATGTCACCAACACGAGCCAGCCCTCAGGGACACAGAGCACAACCCAAGTGTGGGCAGGACAGGCCGTGTCCCCAGATCCCTCACCACCTGTCTACTAACTCATATTTTAAAATTGCCTTGCACACCTCAGACTTGGTGCCATCTCTCAGGCCATGAGATAATCTCTTAAGTTGTCTTAAGTAAATTTTATAAGCAAAACACCCATGAAACACTACACAGGATACTTCTGCTCTTACCTGCAGGGCTGCCTGGCACATGTCCACTAAGCCCTGGATGAGATAGTATTTGGCTTCTGCCATCAAGGCTTTGATCTCCTGCCTGTGTTTTGGAAGTGCAATCGTGTCATCTCTGAGATAGTTTAAAATTGTTCCAAAGTGCTTCCCACAACGGTCTATAAGGATCCAGCCTGAAAAAGAGCCAACACATTTCAGTCGCCTCAACACAAGAGGCAAGGAAAAGCTCTCTGGAGAGGTTAAACAACACTGAGGTTTCCTGACACCGCTCAGGACGCTTCTCCCATTTCACCCAGTGGAAGTTGCTACTGCCTTGGAGCAAACTGAAGCTGCTTCCAGAACAGAATCTGACAGTGGAGCCCCTTGAATATTGCACAGATGCTCCCACTGCTTTCCAGCACCCCAAAAGCAAAGCACCAAGCTAAAAACACTCAGCTTCCAGCACAATGCACTGAGATTGCTGCAGGAACCCAACTGCAGGGCTACACTGTGATGCTGGGCAGTCAGAAACCTCTGAGAGCCAGGGAAGGACTAGAAGAGAGAGTTCACTATTGACTGCAACAAGTAGATATAGATAATTTCTGTGGCCTAATAAGGAGTATTTGGCAATTCTCCAAATACATCTGCTGCTGCTGTTTGGAGTTAAAAAGAGAGAAATGTTCTGAAGATGCTAAAAGGCAGATCAGCACAGAAAACCCAGTGTGGGGGAAAAGCTGTTCTAGTCCCCAAAGAGGAGCAAAGAATAGGACAGACAGATCAGGAGGAAGCACAGAGGGGATGAAGCAGAGGAAACAGTAGCAAATGGACAAATTCTTGCAATTTTACAAAATCCCTGAAGTCACATTCCCTAAGGAAACAGGATGTCTGATTGCTGCCAAACAATAGCAGTGTAGGATGCACGCACACACAAGGCTTAGTATGGTGCTAAACCCTTCCCCATAATGTGGAAGGCAGGAAAAAAGTGTTATTTTGGAATCTAGGCAGAGAAAACAACCTAGGAAAGTAAGCTAAACCCCTGCTGGACTCTCCAGCTGGAGCTATCAGAACATGACTCTCATTTTCCATCCAGGCTGAGGCTCTTACACAAAATTGCGTGTTCTGCCCTTTATAATGTATCAGGGATTTAAAATATCCTGTGTCCAGCTGGAGGTGACACACTGCCTGACTGATCCCTAAATGCTGCCATGGCACCATGAGCCACAACTGAAACATGCTGCTCAGGAAAAGGGAAAAAAAAAAGATTTTTCAACAAAGCAAGGCAGGCTATTCTGAGCCTCCAAGCTGAAAACTGCACGTCCCTCCTTACGTGCGTGGTTTGAATGATGCCACTGCTTGATGTGACAGAAATGACAACCCACAGACTGTCTGTTCAGTCTTTACACCAACACCAACCTGCTCACCAGCACGAGGGCAGGAAAGAGCACCAGTCCTTCCCCAGTTCTTTTGAGTAACAAAACCAGGTATTTCTATAAAGCCAAAGGATTGCTAGCACCAACAGGACTTGGCTGCCTAATGCTCCCAGTTATTTTTGGCATATATCATTCTCTACATCCTTAACGGAGTAAAACCACCAGCAAACTCCTGCTGTTTTACAAAACCGCTAGCAATGAAAGCCACACCCTTACCTTCCTTGTCGGTGAGCACCTCCATCCTGCCGCTGAACATGGCCTTGAGCATGGTGTCGTGCCTGGTGAGCACCTGCACCGTGGTGTAGTACAGGGAGCCCCCGACGTTGAGCCGCACGTACTTGTTGCCCAGGCTGCCGCCCTTGAGCGCGCCGGCCTTGGGCTTGTGTCCGG